AGGACTCAGGATGGAGCCCTGGGGGACATTCGCATTAGTATGAAAGAATGTAGATGTATGACTGTTCAGGACAACTTACAATTCACAATTTGATAGGAATTACTGGATCAGCTCAAAAATGTACCCAGTAATACTGTAACTTTTCAGCTTGTGGAGAAGTTTAGAATGCCAGACGCTGTCAAAGACTTTCGAGATGTCCAATGCTACAGCCCAGGCTTCACTGTTTTATCTAGAGCACAATAGACTCTAACAGGCTGAAAGTTAGATGGATCAGACGGTTCACCAGAGTTCTTAAAAACTAGAACAAAGGACAATGACTTCCAGCAGGTAGGAAAGCAAGAGGCTACAAGGTATTTATTATACAGAGTAGAGACTACAGGAACTAGCTCAGGAGCATACTTCTTAATGACTATTACAGGGATGCCATCAGGTTCACATGCTTTGTGGGGATTCAGGTTAGAGATGATAGCAGAAACCATGGAATGGGTTATATGCATATCACTCAACAGAGAATCAGTTCTAAGTGGGAAGTTAGGCAGGGATACTCCAAATGAGTGGTCAGTGTTACCCAAGAGGGCAGTATTGCGAAGCTCGGAAAATATTTTACACAGAATTTGAATGCCTAACTAGGCTCAGATGGATAAAAGTCTATTCTATAATATATTAGACACAATGTGACATTATATATTTATCAGTCTTTTAACTAGATCTTTTAATAATGAGATATTCCATTGTTATGATAGCACATAGCTATTAGCATAATAATGGAATATATCAGTAAATAGTGATAACAACTTGCTAATACATTCCTTTCTATTTTATTTTTTTTTTATATTAACCTTTTTTGAATATTTGTAATTTTAATAATTAAAATGCAGAATTCATCCCAACAGAGCAGTAGAGTTAATTGTCTAAATAAAAATCCTAGATTACTCATGGACAAAATATAACCAAGACATTTGCAAAATTACTTAAACCTTGCAGTCCTTTTTTTAATAGCAGTAAAAAAGACATACAATAAAAGCAAGATATCATTTGAAAACTAATGGATTACTTTTGCCTACACATAAAATCTGAATCTATTTTTTATACCATGTCCCTTTAGGATAGGCTCATGGCCATATCATGTTGAAATACCAGTTCTCAGTAAGCAATGTTGAGCTTGATCAGTAACTAGATGGGTGACTGCTTGGGAATACAAGGTGCTACAAGCATAGATGTGCAAGTGGTGTAGTAGATAAATGATTGTAATTGCAAATCGTAGAGCTGAGTTCTAATTCCAGTCAGGTATAAATCCACCTCTTCTCCTCCCAGCTATGGGTTAATTAGTAGAACTTGTATCAGTAAATCATTATCTGAAAAAGAAAAAAATGTTACAATCTAAAATTATTTTCTGGCTTTAAATAACCTGTAAAATGTTGATAAGCCAAAAAAAATAAAAAACACACACAATCAGCTCTTCAGGACAAAAGAAATCATGGCTCTCCATAGATTCCTTTTCTTTATTATCTGTGAATTGTTATGTTATGACCTTTTTTTTAAGGTGGAGTGGTTTACACTTCTCCATAGTAGTTCTGAATTCAGAGTAGTTCTCTTAGATTCGCTATATGGCTTTCATAGCTGGAGGGAAAAGAAATTGATTCATGCCTTTCCAAGGGCATTTGCTTAAAAGTCAATGCAACAGACTAGGTGTGGATTTGAACATGATTTACTGATTCCACTTTCCATACTGGTAACCACTGTACTACTTGCAATGCTGAGAATTCATTGATGTGGTTTCAGTTTAAAAATCATGAACTTATTTTCCACTGTGTACATGACAACAGTCTCAAAAACAGTGCGTGTCATCATATATGATAAAAACAGCATTGATTCAGACACAAAAAAAACAAAAAACTTTCACATTAAAAGTTACAACAAAAATTCTTCTCAAATTAACTAACGTTACAAATATCTCGCAACAGTAAAGTTTTCTTTTTACTTTGTGCCAACCAATTCAGTTTTGTTTATATTAAAATCATATCCATTGATTCGGTCAAATGAATTTTAAACAGATGAAAACTTGACAAATACAAAATCTATATTAATAAGAGCTCGTTCTTTGAACATCATATACTGTGTATGCACATATATAATATGTATGTCTGTGTTGTGTATGTGTGACTTATATGTGCTTATGTCATTTAATGTATGTACAAGCATGCTCACACACATACTCACTATTTGATTGAATATTGAAATAAGCCATTGGAATAATACATTCTCCTTCCACACAGTATGGACAACTCCTACCTTGGACTGAGCAATAAAATCATAAATTTGGAGATAAAAAAAAAATATGCACCTCCCATCCCAGAGATTTAACTCAAATTACTATGTCACCAAATAATAATTGCATGTTCACTTCTTGTCCCGGATGGTGTGTACTTGGACTCGGTGCAAACAGGATGATCAATAACTGAGCAGTAGTAAAAAATAAGAACTTTACAAGATATCCCTAGACATGGGCAGTGGAACTAGAATTGTCTACTTGTGTAGATTAAATAAAGCATTCAGTTCAGAATTCCCTGTAGGTTATCCAGATTGATATACACCTGAAGAAGGCTGGAGAGCACAACAGCCAAAACTTAATAACAAAAAATGAAGACAATAGTCTGAATTTAAATATTGTCAATGCAACACATTCAAGAAATCTTAGTAAAGAAAATGTGTTCTCTAACAAAGATTGAACATGCGTCCCCCTTTGTAGTGGAAACCACCATCTACTACTCAGCCACAAAAAATAGCAGAGCAAGTGAGACTCTCTATTTTCCCTTTTTAAAGAATGCACATCCTCTGCTTCAAATAAGAACTGGCCATTATAAAAACATTTGAAGTAATAAAAATGATGGATTAAAATTAAATTCTTTAATTGTTGCTTCAAATGTTATTATAGTGGATACTTTGTATTTGAAATAGACGCTCCATTTTTATTTATTAAACAGTATGTATTACATCTATCAGGATGTGTATTTGAGAAATCTTAATAAAAAAAAAAAAAAAAATGGGGCATCTATATCAAATATGAAGTGCCCGCTATAATAATCTTTGAAGTAATAAAAATCTCAGATTAAAATAAGTCCTTAATTCTTATATATATATATATATATATAAAAGAAAGACATACAGGTACTACTGTACAAAAATGAACTGCATGCACATCTTAAAAGTAAACATTAATACTCATTAATTTTTAAATATATATATATATATATATATATATATATATATATATATATATATATATATATATATTAAAATTTAAGGAATGTTAAAACATCACCACAAAAAAAAGCCATTTTGTTTTCAACACTTCTGGTGTCTTGTCAAGTGATGGTCCATCATAAATAAGACACCATGAAAATAGTGAAACAAAACAAATTTTTTTGTAGTGATGTTATAACATGCTTATGTTATAATTTTTCAATGAATATTATTTGCTTTACATTGTCTTTAGCACTTACTTTAAAAAATAGTATTTTTCTTTATCAAAATTATATCCCATCTACACCAACACCAACCCTGTACTCATGTGGTTGCATGGAGAGTTGTTTGGGACCTTAGGTTTCATGTTTTCGTGATCTTCAAATTCTTTGTTGTCTGAAGATCACGAAAGCATGAAACTTAAGGTTACAAACAGCTCTCCATGCAAACACTTATGTTAGCTCTGTCATGGTTTTTGATCACTTTCCATTAAATACTACACACACATAGGCATATATATATATATATATATATATATATACACACACACACACCCAAGTATATAATTGGTATATACGGAGTGAATTCCAATAACCAACAATTACTATTCTTAAGAGTGCTCAATACAAAGTAGAGCAGATATAATTATTATTTATAAAAAAATAACATAACATATGTTTATAAAATCACTACAAAAATAGCCATTTTGTTTCAACACAAGTATAAATCCAATCAAGTAATTTCTTATCAACTGATGATGTTGAAATTTTCAACATCATCACTTGAATAAGACACAGAAAAAAAAAACAAAATGGCTATTTTTGTAGTGATTTTATAACATACTTATGTTATAATTTTTTTATAAATAATTATTTTATATATATATATATATATATATATATATATATATATATATATATATAGAATATTTACAATAAAAAATATTTAATTCTAAGATATATACCATTTTAGAAGGGAAAGAAAAATATTTTCAAGACATTGCTTCACCTGTACATGCTTCTGTGGGACCACTCTTGTACAGTAGTACCAGATATACTTACCAAAAAAATAATTTACATAGCTTAATCATTTCTAGATATTACTATAAACTACATCTGGTGTAAGACCTGATTGGGAGATTGGAGGTTTTGAGAAGTGTGGAGCCACCTCTTAAATGCTGGTTTTTTTTTGTTTTTTTTTTTTTCTGGGGTGGCCCCTGTTAGGGCCCCATCTATGGATAAATGGTGAACCCCCAAACAACAAAACACTATGAAAGTATAAAAATACATTTTTACAGTAAAATTCCTGGCAATGCATTTTAATATAAAAAACTTACCAACAATTCAATTTTATAGTAGGATTACCAACTATATATTTAATCTGTAGGTGAAGGCATGGAATTACATTCAAAATATATTTAGTTAAAACCATAAAATTGTGTTCAAAATATTTAGATTTCAGCATTAAATAACCCATAGAGATTGATGTGCCGCTATACAAAATCAACCAACTAACATAGTCTCATGACTTGTATATATGTGAGATTAATATATCTATTCTGTTCTGAGACTTGGCAAAAACCTGTTCATATTTAAAGAGATAAAAAAACAGTTTGGTGTATCAGAGAAAGTTAATGTTTGTAACTCTAATTCAGCACAAAGTTGCCAGAATATTTATAAATTTAAAACTTGTATCAACTATGTGGTTGCTTTTGTTCTTTTTTACTAATTGTTTTTTTTTTTTCTTTTAACTTTTAGAACCGCATTAAAATGGTTGTTGAAGGAAGCGGTTCGCGTTACACACCCTCAACGGGCATGACAGCAAAAGAACTGTGTGAGAATGACGATCTAGGAACCAGCCTGATCCTCGATCCATACCTTGGATTTATTACTCACAAGATGAACACCAAGTAAGTAAATTTCCTTGTCGGATATTGGCACAATTATCATGCCTTGCTCTAATTAAAATAGCTTACACAATCATCATTAACTTGTTAATTTTAGAAAAACCTTTTTAAAGTCTTTTTACACTATTTATATTGTGCAGACTTGTCCTCATCTTTATTGCCATATTCATAATGTTTCAGCCGTTGTATGCTCCAACCTTCTTCAGGTGATATACATTGGAATTTCAAACAGAACTCTTTATTTAGTCCTTAGGGTAGATTGTTCTAGTTCCACGTGCCATGCCTTTTCTAGATATCTCAGTATCAATTAATTCCCTTAGTAACTCTACTCTCCAAGTTTTTGTTCACATCTGCTGTGGCCAGATATTGAACTCAACTCTTTGGGTTAAGTCACAGGATTACTTCAACCAACGCTTTTATCCACTGGGCCATATGAGTTCAATACCTGGCTACAGCAGAGGTGAACAAAAACTTGAAGAGTTTAGTTACTAAAGGGAAATAACTGAAACTGACTTATCCAGAAAAGGCATGGCACGTGGAACCAGAACAATCTATCCCAGTGGACTAAATAAAGAGTTCAGTTTGAAATTCCAATGTATATCACCTGAGGAAGTCTGGAGCATACAATGGTCAAAATGTGATGAATATGCCAATAAAGATGTCCGAAACATTCCGAACAACGTAAATAGTTGCAATATCTCATCTCAGAAATATAGACCGAAATTTTAGTTTTGTGTATTACTTTCAAGCACATTTTTGTATTCACAAGAAGTGCTATTTGTAGATTATATTACTGTTGTTCACATACCTTTTGGTGTAGTTATTCATTTTAGCATACCTAACAGATTAGCTTTTATCTTCAAGCAAAGTTTGTCAAAACTAGCAGGCATTATGATTTATAATTTATTTATGAACACTTATACGTTTGTTTTAATCACTCAAAGCCATCCTCTTTCTTTGGCTTTGAAATTCTGTAATCTGTAAGTGCTGGAAGGTGAAGAAAACTATTTAGTTTCTAAAGGACTAAAATCCTGTATTTTATTTTATTTTATTTTTTTTTTTTTTTTTTTTTTTTTTTTGATGAGTTTTTTTTTTTTTTTACAAGAACCAGGAAATATCATTTATTAATCTTAAAAAATAGGAGTAGATAGATTTGCCTATCATCAGGTTCACGCTTCTCTCCAGTCTTTTGAAATGTAGAGATTTATTCTTGAGTTTCCGGTTCCTTCTAAAGTCTACTTCAACCCTATACTTGTAACATCTTCACCTAAACACTGAAATTTTATTTACTATTTATTTTTATTTTTTCTTCAATTATGTTTGCTTATCGTCCAGTTTACACTCCTCCCTGGTCTTTAGAACAGGAATAGAAGTTTATGCCTTGTTTCTTGTTTAAGATTGAGTTTCTGGTTCCTTCTGAAGTCTTTTCATTCTCTTTTACTACCAGTAGCCTCTTGCATTTTAGTAGCATTATTGTCTTGTTTGGAGTGACTAGATTAAAAAATAATAATAGATATTGAGAATCATGGTAGAAATAATAATCTTTTGACCTAAGCATGGCTTCCAAATAAAACTACATCCTTCCACTGTTCATTGAGTAGAGGTAATTTAATGATGAAATAAGGTCAGTTATATTGTTGTAAAAGCATTTCAAGTGGGTATTGGCACTATCTTCTTCAGTTTTAGCACCCAGATGGTGTTTAGTTTAGTGGTTGTCTGTGCAGAAAATGGTATTGGCAAAGAGTTCAAATTCCCACCTAGTATATTGCATTCACTCCACACCCAGCTATGGTTTAAATAGCAGAGCAGACTTCCTTGGTTAGCAATAGTCTCAGAATGATAACTCTGAATTCAAAACCGTAGAGAAACCATTCTTACTATCTTTCCCAAGAAGTCCTGGCAATTCACAGATAAAGAAAAAGGACCTGTAGAGAGCCACGATTGCCTACATCCTGAAGGGATATGACATTCGAAAAGAAAACGCACACACACGCACAAAGTATTTCTTGATGTTTTTACAAAGAACTCTTTTATATTGCTTATATTTTCTGAGTAGATACGTTAATGTCATTGCACTATTTTGTGAAGAGGTAAATGGCTGTGGTAACTTGACCCCATCTATCACCCTTGGCTATGACAACATTTGAAACATATAAAAGTATGTATGTAAACATTATATACAATATGTTTTAGAAGCTCCCAAAAATTAACAGTTTTTGAAATGTTTAAAATGTTAGGTAAACAAAAACACTAGAAAGTGACACAAATTACCATCTATAAAATACTTCCATGGTATGTCTCAAATGGCCTCTGACAATTAAGTCCAGCCCTAAGCCAGAGAATGGGTGAAGACGAACTAGTGATGCCTCCTAACCAGCTGCTTCAGGTAGATGGGGCTCAATAGCCCAGGAAGGCAGTCCATCTTAGGGAAGGAAAACCCTAATTTTAAACCACTGTTTTGCAGTCAAATCCAGACAGGAAGCCCAGAGTGGAGCAACAAACACCGACAACTTTCCAGCAACTCCTGCAGCCAAGCTGGCCCCAAATGTAATACCCTGTATTCCTTTGAATCTTGTCAATACAGTTAAGATGGGAGCCATATAGTCGGGGTTGTGCTCGGTCTCCATATACCATCACCCGGGCCTGTACCCTGAAAAGCCCCCCCCCTTCCAAATCTAACCACCAAAGGATTGAATTTTGACCAAACAGGACAGTACCTTTTATCTTGTTAGATAAACAGATGCCTACTACATAAATAGCTGTATATTCTTTTGCATTGTTTTAAATATACTATTTACATTGTTCAGACTATTGTCCTCATCTTTTTCACCATATTTATTATGTTTTTTTTTTTTGTATGTAACCCAGCCTTCTTCAGGATCCATTGGAATGCCGAACTTACCCTTTATTTAAATTCATATGATTGTTCTAGTTCACTGACATGTCTAATGGATGTCAGTTATCAATTATCTCTGTTAATTATAATGGACAAATTCTCCACTGTCTTAACCAGGTAATTGAACTCACACTCTTTGGGAGAGGGAATTAACAGGAGGTAACTGATAACTGACATCCATTAGACATGGCACGTGGAACTAGAACAGTCTGAATTGTAAATAAAGGGTTGAATTTAATATGCCAAATAAAAGAAGGCATTACTAGCATACAACAATAAACATTGTAATAAATATATGACAAAGATTAATAAAAAAACTTAGAATAATGTAAATAGTGTACATAATACGTCATACCAGAAATATAGACAAATGTTTTAAATATATAGTTCATTTTCTGCTGATTTAAAAATTAAGATGCCTGAAAGCTGCCACTTGTAAAAGTTCTTTGTATTGTTGCATTATTGGCTTCATTTTTAGGTCAGAAAGCTCTCGTATAATAAAGCATCATTCAAATCTACAACAAAGGATAACTTTTAAAACAGTTGGCTGTAAATGTCGCAGCTCTTATCAATTGTTAAGATTAAGTAAATTCACATAAATCCATTGTTAAAAATGAGGCTAGCTTTCTGTGCAGACTCAACAAAATTTTTAATATTTAGCCATATTTATACCTGTGCTATTTCTTGATAGATTATCAAATAGAAATAGCCCAAGAAAAGTCTCCCCGTCCTCATTCTTTAACAGGCTGCTTTTCATAAAATAGGTTTTTACAAATAAAAAAAAAAAAACATGACAACCTGCTACAAATATTTTTGTGTATTGCCTAAAATGATTAATTCTGATGCAGAACAGCTGGCAATATCTGTTAAGTAAATAGAATGCTCCCATATGTTTCATGATCTTTAAAATTGCACTCATGATGACCCATATATACAGATTGCGTTTTATTCAAATTTTATTGATATATTACCTTGATATTTATGGATAAGTTTTTGTTACTAATTTTGATGAAATTCTGAAATTTCATCCAGATTCTCCCCATTTTATCAGTCAGAATTAACATTTTAAGAAAATTCTTGTATTTTAAAGATTTTTTTAATACTAGGGAGAAGGAATATGAATCCTTACACTTTTGTAAAATACCTTCAAAGACCAATTGAAAATTTGTCTATCTAGCCGTCTATCTGTCTTGTCTATCTAGCCGTCTATCTGTCTTGTCTATCTAGCCGTCTATCTGTCTTGTCTATCTAGCCGTCTATCTGTCTTGTCTATCTAGCCGTCTATCTGTCTTGTCTATCTAGCCGTCTATCTGTCTTGTCTATCTAGCCGTCTATCTGTCTTGTCTATCTAGCCGTCTATCTGTCTTGTTGATTTCTATTCAGCAAATATCATTATGTCTTGTCCTATCTAGCCGTTGTATCTGTCTTGTCTGTCTGATTTCTATCTGTCTTGTCTATCTTAAATGGTCTGTCTGTCTTGTCTATCTAGCCGTCTATCTGTCTTGTCTAAAAGAAGTCTGTCTGTCTTGTCTATCTAGCCGTCTATATCTGTCTGTCTGTCTACTCGTCTATGTCTGTCTGTCTGTCTACTCGTCTATGTCTGTCCATCGATCTACCCATCTATATATGTCTATCCATCCATCTGTCCATCCATTCATCTATCTGTCTGTCTGTCCATCCATCTATCTGTCTGTATGTTTGTCTTGTTTTTTTTAACTTGTTTTAAAGTAAACATAATATAACAAGTGAACCTGTAACCTTTTGAGATTAGCAGTTAAGTGACATACTCACTGCACCAGCATTCTGCTGTTTGAACAGCAAGATTAAATTATAAATACTAAATTAGGCACAGCTACTGCACTGATCCTAGGTGGAGCATACTGATACTCTGATTCTATACAAGGCTTTCATCCATGTTATGTTGGAACACCGATTCCCATAAATTCACAGAAGTTAAGCAACATCAAGCCTGGTCAGTACCTAGATAGGTGACTACTTGGATGTGTAAGTGGTTTAATGGATAGTAACTTGGAATTATTAATTAGGGAGCTGAGTTCCAATTCTCGTTGGGTTCATTATATTCGCTTATGTGTAAATATTATTGGGAAAGGAATGAATCCACCTCTTTTCCCCTCATCTATGGGTTAATTAGTAAGACTTGTATCACTAAACCATTATTATCTCAAAAAAAATTCTTACAATCTAAAAAAAAAATATTTTCTGGCTTTAAATAACCAGAAAATGATTGAAAGTCCATAAATAACAAATCAATAGAATAAACAATTTGATCCTATGCTGAAACACCAATCTATATGTAACTAATCACCTTATTTTTAGACATACAGTCTATATTGAAAGTTGTATTTTTTTTTTTTTAGTTGCATGTGTAAGCTTTAATATATTATACAATTCCTTAAACATGTATTATAAAAAGAACAATAAGATATAAAATCCGGTGTTGTTATAGATATTTTTATTTTTACAAAATAGTGCTCAATGTAAATTTACAGAGCATTAATATTATAAATTAATTGATTTAAAATATGTTTTTTTTTGTTTTTTTCGCTACACAGTTCTAACCATGTTTCAAAAATTGAAGCTAAAAGCCCTGAATTTAATTTTGTAATTAAATTAAAGACATTAGTTCCATTTCATCCTCAAGTGAATTTTGGAGTAACTTTTAAAATTGCTGGGTTTTAAAGACACAGCTAAAATCACAATTCACGTTTCCAAGGTTACAGATAAATCCACTTCCACTAGACAGGGGTGTCTGCGTGTTCATTATGTCTGTATTTTAATGTATCAGTTATTAGCTACGTTTTGGTAGGGGGTAGGGATGTATTTTTCAATGAAATCTAACATCCATTAAATGCATCTCGTCTGGATTTTTTTTAAATTTTTATGTTAACGGCAAAAATTCTTACGAGCATTTTTTTTTATTTTGTATATTTAAAGATTTTTTGAAGGTGTTTAGGTTAGAATACGTTTTTTAACAATTTGAAATATTTTTTCATTTTTTAATTTTTAATATACTATATTTCTTTTAAGAACAATTAAATGTAATTAGAATCCCTTATAGTATATAGAATTATTTTCACATCAAGTATAAGTAAAATTTATAAAATTATTAGTTATTTTAATATAAATATATATATATATATATATATATATATATATATATATATATATATATACCTGAATTGGAACAAATCATGACACAGGCAACAACTGTCAAAAAAGAAGAAAAGAAAAAAGAGAGAGAGGAGGCTGAGTTAATTGTAAGGTGAAATAAGGAAAAAAAGAAAAAGGACAAATGATCACTGCACCCTGCATGTACGTGAATGCATATCTGCAGAGATGGACACATGGTTGCATACTTGAACACAAAAAAAAATACAGAAAAAAAACTTACACCAATGTTAAATGTATATAAAAGGAAGAATCCAAAAGATATAAGCAGTAAATTGCTGATACTCCCTAAAGAGTGAACAGACAGGTTCACCTACAAAAGTCTGGATGTTGGAGGTAACATCAGTCAGCTAAGTGACAAACATTTACTCACACTAATCGTAATCTAACAAGATAATATAAAGAACAAATAGAAAACATTTATCAATCTATGTTTCACTTTTATTAAAGCTTCATCAGAGATTAAGAAAAAACAGAACTTTGGTATTTTCAGTTTTATTTGGGTCAATTCTCATTGATAATTTATGCCACAGATGCATTGAAACTAGATAATTCTATACGTAAGTTTGTAAGAATTCTAATATATCTTAGCAGGTTATCTGATGGTCAGGTGTATTTGTAATTGTGTATGTGTGTCTCTCTAGTAGGAGGCCTTCAGTTTTCACTTTTGTGTGGTTGTGGTCAGTCAGTGTTGTGAGGTGGTATTTTATTAATCTGGGGCCCCAATAGTTTACAATCAATCTGTTCTCATCTATATAATCTCTAATTTGCTTCAGAGTTGATCTCCAGGTGGTATTCATCAAATCTTGAGAACTCTTTTTATGCCAGAGGTTGAATTTTCAGAATAAAACTTACCCCCTATCACTCCTCCCCCAAAGTATTAATCTGTGTGTGCATGTGGTATTTGGAGACAGAAGCTAATTGTACCCCTTTCACCAAAACTCACAAACACTATGCTTTCCATTATGAACTGAAATTAACTTCTTATAAAAGCAATTTTAACTTAAGAAAAAAAAGATTCCATAAAAACACTGCTTGACATCTTTGATTTATTTGTTATCTTAAAACAAAATTGCCAGCTAAAGGAAAAGATCACTTTTGTCACAAATCATTTTATGTATGAGGGACTCTCCAAAAGGACCCCAATTGATTTTCACATATTACAACAGAACAATATAAAGCAAATTTTCATCTACAAAAACACCATTTTTCCACAGTCATTTTGATTACTTATGCATTTTTGCTAGGGATGAACATTTTATAGGTTGAATTCTATGCAGGGCTGCCTAAAATATTGCTTATTACATATATTGCTGTCACTATGCATGGAAAATCATCAGGGCGTTTCAACATGGCGTAATGATTAGCAAAGCTTGTCTCACTAGATCAATTAAGGAGTAGTGAATTCCATCCTCACCAGGTGCTCTATACTTTCAGCCTTGTGCCACATCTAAGCTACGCTTGGAAAATCACTATATTACTGTCACCTTTGAAATGCATTGCCTACCAGCTGTGCTCATGTATGCTGTTTGGTCTCCATAAACATTCAGTAAGCATCAGTGGAGGTATCATCCACACATTCATGAGGCATGTATGTATTCACTGATAAATCTCAGCTTCATATTCACTCTCATCTCTGATACCATTTTGCCATCTGAAACAATGCAACCGAAATTGTGATATTTGCAGGAAGGTTCAACCTCTAGTGCAGGGGTCGGCAACTCATTTGACCCCGCAGGCCGGATCGTGTTATAATGACGGGTCGCCGGCCGGACAAAGGACATTAATGAAAAATTAAGGAAAATTACATATGCAAACTCCTGTCAACCTAAATATTTAAAACCATAATGAAAATAAACATTGAGAAATCAGAAAAAAAAAAAAAATCTAAAATTAAAAAACACCTAACAAAAATTACTTTTCCTCAAGGAACGTCAAAATACTTCAAAGTGAAAAAAATCAACCAAAGTGAAATGGATGAAATTATGACGTGTAGGTTTGAAACTGTTATTGAAAATTGTTCCACAAATGAACCACACACACACACACACACAAAAAAAAAACAAAAAAAAAAGCACATATACCCATACATACAAGTACAAATAGTTGCAAACATATACACTTACGTACGTACACATGCGGTATCATCCACACATTCATGAGGCATGTATGTATAATGCGCGTATGTTTAACTGTCTTTAGATTTCTGCTACCTCGTATGTCAGTCCCTGGCCTCTTTCACTTTATTGTTCCTTTCGCTTCTGTTATCTTTTAATGTAGCCAAGGGTCATAACAAATATGTATCCATTATTTGACATTAAACGTAGGCAACGCAACTTGGTAAAATAAGTCTCATGAGAGATAACTGGCAGATAGTCTAATATTTTTAGTGCACTGAGATGTGTAGACATTCTATGGAAAATGACATATAACAAATTTCATTTGAAGGTTGTTTCATGTTAAAAATAGTCATTGGTAATCAGGCTTGAGGGCCGGGTCCGGCCCGCGGGCCGTGGGTTGCCGACCCTTGCTCTTGTGTTACAGCACCAACAATAAAATAGCAGACATCATTCTAGGGATGAAAGGGAAATATTGTTCATGCCTTTTGTGTGTATGTTTAATATATTTTGATATTATTCAAGATTATCAGGGTTTAAATTACACATGATATGCTTAAAAATATAATTAAACCTAAAGTAGAAAAGTTTTAGAATGAAAAAATAACTTCACAACTATGAAATACTTTTAAAATATTTCTCATCTGCCAACAATTATTGTAAAGAATGACAATGTATATATAAATGTGCAGAAGTCCACTGACCTTCAAAAAGGCTGAGGGCACGTGCCTGTCGATGCCATTGGCTCCATGATACAAAGAACAACCAGGCTCATTCCATCACTTGTAACAGAAAATGGTTGATGGAATAACTTTAACATGCTACATATGAGGATTATGGTTTAATCCCAATGTGCTGGCTATGGATTAGTGTACCTACCTTCAAATGCATATAAAATCACTGGCAGTGACCGAGAGAAACATAGGAAGCCTACTGGCAGGAGAATGGATTTGCAGCTATTTAGATGTACAGTTCTGAATTTTTGACAGTTTGTAACAATGAAGTATAGCCAATAATTAAAATATACGGTATTTTGAAAATATTTTTAGCAATCCTGTATATTTTATTCAAACATAATGTGTTCTTAAAAAAAAAAAAAAAAAATCCCCCCCCCCCTTCAAACTGCATGATCTGTATCTATACAGAAGGAGAACAGGAGAAGAATTTTTTACAACTACACACTAGATTAGTTAAATATTCATTATTTTTAGTAAATCTTTTTTAACAGACTCTGTAATTTCCTTTTCTTTTTTTTCTTTCTCTTCCAGGCACAAACCATTACGAGGGCGTCAAGAAGAGCTGGCAATGTTAGTAGAAAGATTTATGAAAGAACAGAATTATGAGGACACATATTCCAGTCTACTATCTGAGGATGTAGTCCGAAATTTTCTTACAGGAAAATCTAAAGATCAACGTAGAATATTCCGGGAACATGTAAGTTTTTAATATATTCCAAGCGTATTGTGTTTGCAAGAAAATTATTGGGATTTGGAAATTATAGTTAGACTATATATTAATATTTTTGGTGTCCGTAGGCCTAACAAAAATCTTTAATAAAAGTTATCTTCTTTTGACCAGAGGAATGAAAAAAAGGGTTTTTGTCACATCAGCTTTTTGGAAGGACAGGACATTCTGGGTACAGGGATTTCGGCCATGATACCAAGATAAGCTACACAGATCCCTGAGGCCCACATCTTATCATTACATATCCAGCAGCTCCGCTCACCATCCAAACTGTGTTTTCATTTAATAAAGTTTGTTAGTGGTTTATCCTTTCATTCCATCTACTTATCTTTCTTCACACGACCACATTTCAGCCCCATTTCAGTGTCCTTAGTAAATTTTCTAATGACATTTTATTACAAAATCCATTATTGTACTCTCATATTTTATCTTGATACCATGGTATCTCCCTACTTTCCGGTTCTTGTCCAGTTAAGCAACATCGCACATGGTCAGTGTCTAGATGGGTGACCACTTGCGAATACCAGGTGCTGTAAGCATGTATGTGCAGTGGTGTAATGAATAACAGTTTTTTCCTCTCTTTTTTTTTTTCTCCTTTTTTTTTTCTTTTTTTTTCCCTTTTTTTTCTTTTTTTTTCCCTTTTTTTTCTTTTTTTTTTTCCTTTTTTCTTTTTTTTTTCTTTTTTCCTCTTACCTTGCTTTTTTCTTTTTTTTTTTTTTCTTTTTTTCAATATTTTTTACTTTTTCTAAACAGTAGATTACTAAAAAAAAATTTAATAAAAATTTTGATTTGCAAACAAAATTGACTCTAAAATGTTAAACGTTAAAGATATAGAATCAGATAGTTGTGATTATGAACGTGATAGTTGTTAATTTTTTCATTTTTCTTTGTTAATATTTTAGATAACCTGATTTATTAACAAAAATAAGTATATACCAAAGTCATGCTTAATTACTGGAATTAATATTCTATCAACAACATTCCCTTTACATAAGTCAGGGTAGTTTTTTTTATTGATTGTGTTTTTGCTCTTTGGTTTTAAGCAAATAACACTCAAAATAATTTAACATCTGCTTCAGCAAAATGGTAAATCTTGCCAGTTTCAAATCTTTTTATGCCCTCTTTGAATAATGACCTATATTTGTATTTATGATTGTTATTGCACTATTTAAAGTTGTAAAGCTCAAATATGTATGAGTGCAATAGAGGACTGTCTACAGGTATTTCATAGTCTTGGAACATACAACAAACATATTTATTCATTAAATATTATCATACATCAGAATATTCAACTAAGAAAATTTCCTGACAACCTCTTTCTCTCACACACACACACACATATATATATATATATATATATATATATATATATATAAAATGATGGACTTTCCCGTCGTTTTCAACATGAGTGTCTTTCAGTTCAATTTTTATGTTTGTTTATATGATACAACAATCCTGCACGGGATTTGCAAACAAATCCACACAAGGGACATGCTGAAGGGTTGACTATTATATGGACTGATGTATTGGCCCGAGATTCAGTTTTGGTTCTTAATTCTCTCAGATAGTTGAGATTATTCTTTTCAAAGTTAGTTATACCTTGGTAGCAGGTGTTTCTCCAGTTTGCTTGGTTTTTTCAACATAATTTGCATTCCTATATTAGTTGATCTTTACAGTATTTAAATTGTATTTAAGTTTATCCTTTAAGCATAACCAAGGATGGCCTTTATTATGCTTACCATGAAAAAGTTGGCTATACATGAGGATTTTCAGCATCCAATCATCACACATTCTGATGACATGACCAGCCCATCTGAACTGTGATTGTATTAGAAAGGATTCAATACCACCAACGCCACTTTTGAGGAAAAGATCAGGGTTAGAGATTTTGTCCTGCCATGTATAACGTTCTTGAAAAAAGACAGCGTTTATGAAAAGCATCAAGTTGATAGAGGTGCGTTATGTATAGCATCCTATTTATATGTATTATTATGGGCATGTGGCCGAGTGGTTAGAATGTTCACATTCTGGCCATGAAACCAGGGTTTGAATCTCACTATGGTCAATTTGTCAAGAAGGAGTCTTCCTGTTGTTATCAAACTGGAGGTGTCAATCCTAGCGTGTGGTGCCTGAAAATCATATCACGGGTTGACCCAAGTCTTGTGAGTGAAATTGAGTAGACAGAACCCTTGGATGTTGTCGATAGATGTGCTAGCACAAATTCATAAGTCATTGTGGCCAAAACAAAGATGAATGTGCTGGCCTTGTTCAAATTGTTGATCACACTAGATAACATGCTCTTTCCTAGAAACTGTAACTAAGGTCTGCTCAGCATAGTTATAGTATAAACCACAGGTGGGCTTTGTGGGTATTGAATAAATACAAATGCACCTGAGCAAGGGATTGGGTAGCTGCCCTAGTAGACGAGTATCCTCAAATACAAGTGGCCAGCTATACTATGTATATAATGTCCCTTTACAGTGTCTCCTGTTTTTTGTTTGTCTCTACAATATCTGCAAGTGGACCTATTTTATTGTCTAAGGAAAAAATCCCAGCATGCATTTGTCTGCTTGTATTTCTCTTACTTTTAATGTCTTATGGGTGTTAAATTCTCCAAGTTTCTTCCCTCATTATATATTGCAAGAATTTAATTTCTGATTGTTAGTAATAGGTCTTTTGTATTAACTATTTTCCTTATGACATTCTCATTTGTCACATAGTCTCTCTATGGTATTCTTTACATTCATTAGTAAAATCACATCTCAGTTGCTTAAAGTTTTTTTCTTTGTGATGAAATTCTCCTATATTTACAGCTATAATCTAATTTAGATTTTTATTAACTCTTTCAAAATTACAATTAACAATGTTCAACTTTGTTTTTGCAGGTGTACCGCTATTTACGAATGTTTGACAAAAATGCTGGGTTCAAATTGATGCCCTGTCACCGATATTCCTGTGATGGTCAAGTTGGAGGTAAAGTGTGTTCAACTAGAAAATGGTGAGCAATAAATTTGCTTTTAATACACTTTCTTTTTGTCTTTTTTTTTTTTTTTTAAATTCTTTTTCTGCCTCTCTAAATACATATAAAGTGATTCATATATCCACATAAAAGCATTTACTATCCATGACTTCTTACATTCAAGATTACAGTAACATCATGTTGAAGCACTGATTCCTGTATGATCCCCAAAATTAAACAACGTCAAGCCTAATGTTATGGAGTGATTTCACAGTGGAGGCTTGTATTTGTACTAAGTCGGTCCTAAAGTAGGTTCGACGTACAAAACGTTAGGGACTTCATATAATAGGTATGACGCAGAGAAATCTAGTGGTGGTCGCCGATACTTTAGTATCCGACTAATGGTCGTCCAGCATCAACTGACTGACCAACCCACTGAGCGACTCCTACTTATTATAGGTGGGAGAGTCCATTAACTATAGAATAGGTGTGTTCCACTATAACACCTAGTCAGTATCTAGATGGGTGACTGCTTGGGAGTACCAGGTGCTAGAAGCTTGGATGTGTGGGTGGGGTAGTAGATAATGGCTCGGAATTGTCTATAGGAGTTCCAATTCCAAACAAGTTCATTATATTCACTTTCACACAAATATCTTTGGGAAAGAAATATAAATTCGCTTCTTCTTCCTCCTCCGCCCCCCCCCCCACAGATATGGGTTAATTAGCAAGATTTGTATCCCTAAACTATTATGTAAAAAAAGAAATTCTTACAATCTAAATATATTTTCTGGCTTTAAATAACCTGCAATGAGTTTATAAGAAGTAGAAAACGAGTCAATCAATCATTATTATCATTGTCATAAATTATTATTATAAATTAGAAGTCCCTGTGAAAACGTCATGGTTTTCCTATTTTAATATTTTGATGAATCTTAATTCTGTAAGTTAATGATTAAGTAAATTCTTTGTTCCTGGTATCACCTCCTTTTTTTTCAGACCTTTTCTTCTTAAATAAGAAACTTGAGATTTCTTTTCCTGTCTCTCTGATTACAAACGCATCAAGTGATTCATATATCCACATAAAGACATTTATTTTTATTAATCATGCTAGCCACTCAGACACAAGGGGTTACTAGGTGTGAAAGAATTAGAAAACAAAACATTATGAAGGAATGGTTACAATAGAAGAGTAATCGGGAAGACATTGCGTTTTAATTTTTGAAGATCAAAATTGGCTGGAAAACAAGAAGCCAGAACAAGCAACACATGCAAGAGAAGAAACTGTTAGCATAGAACTTAAGTTACATCTAGCCAATTGAACTGAGGCCTTGCTGCCAATCTAGTATTGCACTTAAATTCATAAAGTCTAGGTACTATAGTAAAAAGTTCATCTGAACACTTACCCTGAAAGTTTTTATAGAAAAAGCGCAGTGGTGAGAAAGTGACTGAAGCCAAAGCGCCAGGTCAGGACTAATAATATTGCTGATTCTTCTTTGGATTTTATCAAGGATCTCTAAATATATAACAGGAGCACCAGACCAGTTAACAACAGACTAGATCATTTTTGAGATCAGCTGCCAGTTTGACCTTACTGATCAGACTTACTATCAAGGCAGAAGTAAATGGTTGTGTCGTCAGCATATAGATACCAAGTTGAGAGTATTTATCCATTATTATTACTTTACGGTTTAACCATAAAATACTGTCTACTCATTTGCATTCACACGGTTCTGCTTCAAGATATGTATTCATTATTTGTAGAATGACTTATTTCATAATCTTTTTGGACCCAAAAATTCATTGAAATGCTTTACTTTTCAGTAAGTGGCTAAGAGAGCCAAGATGTTGGAGAATAACAATGGCTGTAAAAATTTGAAAATAACCAGAAATGTTGTATGGATTAGATTCAAAGACATTTACAACAAAACGAATGGTGAAACCTGACTTGGGTTTGGAACCTAAAGAACTAAAGGTTACATTTATAACAAATCCAACTTCCAGAATTCAGTACAAGGCAACAAATACAGCTTTTTTTTCTTTTTTCTTTTTTACTCATTACTCAGATTGCTTAATGTTTGTGCAAGAATTACTACTCAATTTGATTAATTTTTTTTTTTTTATTCTTACTAATGTTAACCCAATACAAGAGCCACTCAAGGTAGAGGGTTACTGTGTGATGTTGTATGATTGTAAGAAAGGGCAAGAAGTGAAGTTCTTGGGGCTATGCAGGAACAATAACGGCTAGCTTTAGACTTGACGAGGTCAAGATTTAATTAGTGAATAACATTTCAGAGTTCAGTTGGAGACATTAAAAATATAGTGTTAAAGTAGGCTTTAGAAGGAGCCAGAATCTCAACCCTAAACAGGAAACAAGGTATAAACCTCTACTACTGTTAAAAAAAAACAGTGGAGAAGTGTGAACTGAACAAATAGATTCACATTGGAGTAGATATGTTCACCTATCAACTCCTATAAATTTGGTCTAATAAATAGAAAGGGATGATATTTTGATGTAACTAAACAATTAAAATTGTTAGATTTCTTAATTACTGTATAAAATGTTTTTTTTTTTTTTCCCCAGTTTCTTAAGCCACACTGTTGTCAGTAGCGGACTTGCTTAAAATTTACTTAAATTTAAGTAACGTTGCTTATAAAGAAGAAATTGTGTATGAAAAACAAGTTTGAATCTCAATGTTCAAAACCACATTTGGAAAAAAATTGTAACTGTTAATGTTAAATCAAAACACCTTGTCTGCATTTGAAAGATGCAAGTACAAAATATCTGTCCATTGGAATTTTCATCTGACTTAATATATTAAAAAAAGTAATCCACATACTTTAAAAATTAAATGATTACTTTTGTGATAGTAATTTATTTAAGAAATTTTAACTTTTTATATTATAAATCAATATTAAGATACACATTAAGAAGATATGATCCTTCAAGAAAGACTGTGGGGAAATTTGTTGTTTAAAAACAGTAATTTGGACCTTGTTAAGCAGGCGATTCCTCAGTAGCTAATGGTATAGCATGTCAGGTCAAATGACAATTCCATGTAGGATACAAGTTTGATTTCTGTCAAAAGAAACATATTTTCTAAGCAATTTCTCAGACATTCAGACCAGTAAATGTAATTAATGCTGTTTATTGTAAACAGAGCATTTACTTAAATAATTGTATCTATAAAAACAACATATAAACAGAATAAATATATATATACACACACACATACACACACAATGTGTGACGCATAAATTATCGTCTAAATTACGCAAAAATGAAAATAACACTGACATCTTGTTTCAACAGATGTATTTACCAAAATTACACAAAAATATCTTGAAATGCTAAAGTGTAAATTTATTCAATAAAATTGCCATTGGCTTCAACCACAGCCTCCAGGCGACTTCAGAATCTCCTGAAACTCTTCTGGATGATCTCCTTGTTGAATGCTACCATAATCGTTGCCTTCAGTTCATTTTTTGTGTTATAAAGAATTTTGTTGGTCTCTCGCTCATCTGTGCCCCACGCATAATAACGAAGGGGATTGAAATCTTGGAAGTTTGGTGGCCAGATTTATGGGATGATGTCATCACAGAAATTGTCTGACTGTCATTTCTCCTGCTTGGTAGCATGGTGCAGAGTCCTGTTGCCAAACATAGGGTCTTCCAGCAGCCACCCAGGGCAGCACTACCTCCACACCTCCTCAAAGCACTTGATGTAAGCCTCCATGTTGAGTTTGAGGTCTCCACCAACAAATTCAGGAGTCCTTTTCCTATTAGAACAATCAGTGAATTTTGCGAGCTACTGTACCTTCGTAATCACCATTAGACTCGTCCAGCTCTTTCTGAATCCTCTACACTGTCCTCAGACTGACACTCTAACACGCTGAAATGTTTGCATTGGTGCTACTGGCACAAATACCAAACAATACACCATGCTGTTTCCAAATTTCTGGCATAGTGAATTGCATCATGGTGCTCTTTTTCTCATATACTATGCACTTGGCAAAATCGAAAACAAACAACACACATGCATAAAATTAAGAATATAAAATGATGACAATTTACCCATCGCACCCTTGTGCATGTGGGTGTGTGTGTATATATATATATATATGTGTGTGTGTTTGTGCAATATGTTGTATTTTGTAGGTGGTGAGGGTCACACACTATGCCAATGTATTAAATATTAGACTGATTTATCATGCATTTGTGTATTCTGTTCACAAACTGTCTCCAATAAAAAAAAAAATGTACAGATAATATGATGGGTGCTCAATTATTAATTGTCATTGTGGAACTAGCGCTGTTATTGAAATATAGCCAGCTTTAGACAGGATAGACAACGATGTGACCCTCCACGAAAAAAGTTTACCCACCCCAAATTGTAAATGCTCATACATACAAAAAGCAACTATCAAGTTGGTTACATTTTAAATTTTTCTCTCTCTCTCTCTCTCTCTGTGTATTTTTGTTGTTAACCAATTTTATTGCTGCTATAAAGAAAAATGTGTTCAAACTGTCAAAAGCAAATAAAAAAATAAATAAATAAATAAACTTCATATCCTGATTGTTAGAAAAATACATGTATGCTGCTTGCTTACCTGTTTGTTTCCAATTAAAATTTGTTTTTTTTTTTTTCTTTTTCTTTTCTCTCTTCAGGTGGAAACAGAACCGAATTCCTATGCTTGTTGGGTGCATTGCAGAATTAAGCAAATCTGAAGAGGAACAATTATTAAAACCTGGTGAAAATGACTTTAGCGTTATGTTCTCCTGTCGTAAAAATTGTGCCCAGCTTTGGCTGGGGCCTGCATCTTTTATTAATCATGACTGCAGACCAAATTGTAAGGTAAGTTTTAAGAAAAATGATGTCCTTAATTCACTATATCTGTCACTAGCAGTACAGACAGGCGTTGCCCGGGGATGTAACAGTAAGAGATAGATCAAGTATCGACCATCATAAAGACTGAAAAATAAAATTGACAAAGATTATTGTTTAACGTTGACGGACACGCATGTCTTAATTAGTTTTTTTACAAATTGGTCAAATCCAAACTCAAACAAAAACATTGTTTTCAATCGTTATGAGCGTACTGATTGAATAGAATTTTATTATAAACAATTGTCTTGTAAATGGAATTTTTAAAGCATTCTGAATGTAAAAATAAAGAAAAAAGTGTGCAAGACAATAAGAAACACTACTTGCCAAAAAAAAAATGTGAAGTTTTGTTAATCGGTTGAAAAATGTAGGAAATCCGATCCCATATATAAAGGAACACACACACACACACATACAACCTGGGTTTTATAATAAGTATAACTTGATATGAATTGTCCCCCTTTCATTCTTGAAACAGCGATGCCTCTTAATCGTGTTTTCAAATTGATTTTGTGCAAAAACAAATGTTTTTCCAATTTTTGGCACTGTCACAACCACTGCAAGGTAATTTTACGTAGTCCTGTGAAGTTTTGTTGAAATCAGTTGAAAAATGTAGGAAATCCGATCCAATATATAAACAGACGCGCACACACACACACACACAAGCTGGGTTTTATAATAAGTATGATTATCACTTGATCCTGACTTGGCATCTTGACTTCAGTCACATTCTCACTGATGTGACACGGCTTCCCACTGTCTTTTCTACAAATATTTTCATGACTTATACTGACAAGCATTTTTCTCCTAGTGCCTCAACTACATAAATTTAAATGTGCTACTAGATTGGCATCTAGATGCCACCCATTTACTGTTAAATCTTTTCAATCTTTTCTCACTTATGGAACTCTCTTCCAGCTACTTGCTTTCTATAAATGCAATGTCAATAATTCTCTGCTGTCTTCTTGATTCCTCTTCTTCGATTATTCTTGCTCCTTGATAATGTTTCTTTTTCTTATTCTTTTACACTCTGTTAGTCCTGGGTATGACAATAAACTACATCCAGCAGCAAGGCTCCTGATCAAGAGAGTGGAGGTTTTGAGGAGCATAGAACCACTTCTTAATTTCTGTTGTTTCCAGGTACACCCTGACCCAGAGTAGTAACACTCGTTAGGGTCCCAAATATGGAAAGATAGTGAACCCCCTAACAAAAATCCATATACTAGGAAAGTGGAAAAATACATATTTATAGTAAAAATTTCAGCAATACATCTTTATAGAAAAATTACTAACAGTGTATTTTTATAGCAAAATGACAATCAGTACAACACTTGAAAAAGTAAAAAAATACATTTTTATAGTAAATTTACCAACAATACATTTTATCGTAAAATCTAAGTATTTAACTCTGTCTCCCTACTAAGACAAGCGAGTTGTGACACAGTCTTTTTAAGGTGGGGACCCAAGCACATACACCTAAGCCAGGAACAAAATTGCTTGCAGCCCCTACAACTGTCAGTTGCGCTGGCCTCGGTGCAAGCACCAATCCCTCTCTCTGGTGCAATAAGAGGGCGTGGCCTCGGGCAGCTCTTCCCCAGAGCTGGGCACCTCTCAGTATAATTTTCCTCAGTTGCGATTCTGTCCTTTGATGGAGCCACCCCTGAGTGCACTCTGCCCAAAGACACACACAACTGAGAGATGATAAATAGGGTGTTACAAACTACTCGAGAGAGAAGTTTACACATGTCTACAAACTATATATCTAAAAGACATACATTTACTCTAACAATATTATGTACAAAATATCTGTAGTTAAAGGTATAAAATTGCATTCAAAATATATATATATATATATATATATATATATATATATATATAACTGAAGCCATAAAATTGCATACAAAATATTTAGATTTTGGTATTAAATAACTCATAGAGGTGTTGATATGCTACAACTACAACTTTCCATGCTGATAACCGTCATGCTACCTATACATCTATTTACCATATACAATGACCATTTACATTTATTTCCCATTTTCACCTACTGACCTCTTGGACAAGAACTTCAATGGACTTAAGTTTCACTTTATCAAATTGTTTTCTTAATTGTTATGTATTTTCCTTCTTAGAAAATGACTGAATATTTCCTGAAGCTTAACAGGTAGATGTGTAATTAATCAAAGCTAACTCCAAACTTCCATGATAGTCAAATCCAGGTGTCACCCAATGGCGTGCACTACTGTTCAGGCTTGACAAGCAGCTACTGATGAAGCACCATGGCAGGAAGATGTGCAAGTTCTTCCTCTATCAAAAGTGACAAAAGGTGTCAATAGATTGTCATTGCAATTAGAATGCACATAGTTCTGTCAGCTGGGGCTTCAGAATACACCAACTGCACCTCTGCAGATGGGTCGTTGTTCCAAAATGAGGCATCCTGGGTAAGACGCTAAACTGCATCCAAAGGCAAGGCTTCTCATCAGGAGGTTTTGAGGAGTGTGAAACCACCTCTTAATTGCTGGTAATCCCAGGTCCCAGCTATGGGCAAATAGCTAACCCCAAAACTGGAGTTGAAACACTATGAAAGGGTAAAAATAGGTTGAATTTTTTAAGAAAAAATATTACCAGCAGTACATTTTTGAAGGAAAAAATATATTAGCAGCAATACATTTTTGAAAAAACAATATTACCAGCAATAAAAATCTTGTCGGCATTAAATAATCCATTGAGGTTGATATGACGTAAAACAAACCATACCAGACCTAGAATAAACGACAAATGCAATCTTGATCTGATAAATGTGGTGTACCATAACCGTTATATGTTATTGTAAATGTACTGAAGTCCTTACATGTCCAAATTTGTTTATCTTTTCCCTTTGACATTGTTGCCTCCTAAAAAAGATTTATGCCAGGTGATATAAGTCATCAGCTCCAGTTTGTTGACATTGTAATTAGGTTTGTTACATTCACTTACATGCAAACACCTTTGCAAAAGGTGTGAATCTATCTGCTCACCTTCTCCAGCTATGGATCAAATAATAGGATAGTAATATTATCTAGAAAAAATCATTGTTATTCTAAAATAAATTGTGATTGCAATATTCACTAAAAAAAAAAAAAAAAATTCACCTTTAAAAACTTACAAAGGGTTGGCAAGCTAGAAAAAAGAAAAAAATAATCAGTGTTGACTTTGTATAAAAAGTTTGAAAGTCATAATGAATGAATGTACAATCATTAGATTTATTAGGACAGAGTAGATTTTTAAAATCTGCTCATTAAAGGTGTTCATTACAGAGAGAAAACTGGATTAATCCTGTTGTCAAGAAAGAGAGTAATGAAATGCTTTTATTTATACATAATAATAATGTCTAGCTGCTCATTTCTAACCACACCAATCTGCTGGGGTGACTAGTTAGTCCCTGTTGCAGATACCTGCTCAGGTACATTTGTTTTTGTTCTAAGCCCACAGACCCCACTTGTGGCTTATGCTGCAACTATACTGAGTCAACTTTAAATACAGGAGAGAGCATATACTCTGGCATGATCAGCTGTTTGAACAACACCAGTATGCTCAAACCCTCAGTCACGATGACTTGTGACTTTGTGCTAGCACAACTTTCAAGGGGTTCTGAATAGTTCCATCTATCCAGTGTCACTCACAATGCTTGGGTCAACCTATGATGTGGCTTTCAGGCACTTTCCAAAGGTGCCACATGCTTGGACCACCTCCACAGACTGATAACAACAAAAATTCATCTTCCTGACAAATCGACTATAGTAAAATTCAAACCTGGATTTTAGAGCTGGAAATCAAACGTTCTAACCACTCAACCATGTGCCTGTATGTATGGCATTTGAACCCTTCAAGCAATATTTATCCAGGAAGTGATTCCACACAGATGATGCTGCTGTTGCAGAGCTTCAAGAGTAGGTCCAGTCACTTGACACCATGGTTTTAGTCGTGGGTGCTTATGCACCAATGGAACAGTTGCATCTCTCTCAATGACAACTATATGAAAAATGCAACAGATAACACATCACTTATTGTGATTAACCACATTACTTAGAATGATTACTTCACTACTTATGTCAATGTAAAAACAGTCATAATTTGAAATAATACAAGTGACAAATGGTTATAAAAAGGCACTTAATTATTTACAGCTAATTTGTTTAAATAATGCATTGAATTGTTTGCATCGTATGGCAATAATTTTAAGTAAAATGATGCACTAAAATACGTAACCAATTGTTTTAAGTTCACTGAATATTGGTGCCTATGAAAAAGTGGGCTAGTGGTCCTGGTAGCATACTAATAAACATACTTGATTAGTAATTGTTTGTACCTGACTTTTTAAACATGTGTGTGTTTGGCCTGGATTTTTGAGTTCTGTCCTTGTGAGTGAAAATTAGTAGACAAAACTGGTTGGAAACCATCAATAGTTGTGCTAGTATGAAGTCACAAGTCATCGTGACTGAGGGCTTGAGCGTACTGGCCTAGTTCAATGACTGCTCACACCAGAAACTTAAACTAAGGTTTGCTTAGCATAGTTGCAGTATAAACCACAGATAGGCTCTGTGGGGGTTGAAGAAATGCAAATGTACCTGTGGGTGTCTGTCTGCAACAGGAATTAGCTAGACACCCTAGTAGATAGGTGTACTTGGAAATGGATAACTCACTTATCCGTATTGCAATCGCCCACATGTACATTTAATTTTCTTCAACCCCCTATAGAACTAATCTGTGGTTTATATTAAACATTTAACTTTATTATATTCACTAAAGTTATCTTCCAATTTGTTAAATATCATGATACCAAAAACATTGGTGTTACCATATTTTCAAGAGGAGTGGCATATTATAGACAAGTACACATTTTCAGAAATGTTTACTCTGCTTAAAAAACCTTATTTGAAACAGTAAGATTGCAGATACACTTAGCATAATAGATAATAAAAGACAAAGTAGGTAGGTTGTCATATAGGAAGAAAATGAGTAACTACCGACACCAAGGCATGAGCATGACACACTGTACTTATGAATATGTTTTCCACCTGTTGTATAAATAAGGGTGTCAGGCTACTGACTGCAGTGACTATTGAGTAGAACTATCCAGTTGAATTAGTGTGAATTATTGTGCGTCAATGATTTGGGTTTTGATTTAGGATTTACCGGATGTTAAGCTAATCCATGCTACTAACAAGGTATTCACTGAAATGGTTAATTATCTTTGGTTAACTTTCACTTTTGTTCTTGTTAAGTATTTATTTGTTGTTGTAATTAAATACGGTTTTATTTTAACATTGAAGTCTTGAGTTATTAACAGCCACTGTACGTCATAAAATAGGTGTTGATAATAATTGTTCACAAAAGGTATTTGATATGGCGGCAAGAGTTGTTTCTCTCTTCATTCTTAATGAAAGACTATTTTTATTTTCATAGTTTATTAATACATAAAAATATAAGTCATATCAACCAGAAACATACATAAAATGTATTCCCAGGTATGTATAATGAGAACTCCCCACCTCCCCAAATCCAAAAATAAGTTTTGAAATGGAAATTAGAAGAAACACAGAATGGCTAAATATCTGATTCATTTCTATTTAATATCATGAAAAATTAAATATTTTAGTGAAATATATGTACAACTTTGAGAATTTAATGGATATGGTACAGCTTTTGAAAAAAAAAGATATATATATATAGGGATAGTTGTACTACAGGGTCATACTGTACTGAAGGATGTAATTTATTCTATTTTTAGCTTCAGAAACATGGGGTCATGTACACAAGAAAATATGGTATATATCCAACGTTTCATCAACTAGCTTTATAAAAATCATAAAACATCTAAAAACCAGAAAAGCAAAATTCTAATTATGTTTCTGTTTGTTTCTCCCCATCTTCATGGTAATATGAATTTCTTTTCAGTTTGTATCTACTGGTCGAGACACTGCCTGTGTAGAGGTACTTAGGGACATAGAACCAAATGAAGAAATTACTTGCTATTATGGGGAGGATTTTTTTGGTGATAAGAACTGCTTATGTGAGTGTGTTACTTGTGAACGGTAAGTCAGTTTAACTTTCTTTTGTTTTTTTCAGTCACAGTTTAAATGGAATTGTTTTTCAGAAAGTAGTTATGTATCCTTTATGCTAAATTTCAAATATGATGAACAAAAATCTGATGTAAAATAAACAAGCAGCAAAAACAATCATTCTTTTTATACTGCATTGGATTTGCACTCAGCTATGAAAAACGGATTTAATAACACAAAACATTCTAGGCATTCAAAAGTCCATTATACCAGTGAGAGCAAAAATTCTTTTATATTTTTTTATTTTTTATTTATTTTTTTTTTTTTTTTTTTTTTTAAAAAGGTATAATAATCTAAAAAAAAAAAAAAAAAAAAAAAATTTTTTACCGAATTAATGGAATTTGGCCTGAATATTAATTACTCTATTTACAATTGTCAAATATTTTTTCTTTACTTTTAATAAATTAACCCTGCATCCTACAGACCAAAGAATATTTTTTATCTTCATTGACTTAATTTTCTTCTTATTTATTTATTTTTTTTCTCATAATTTTTAAAGTCAAAATTGGGGTGATTCTTTAAGAAGACAGCAACTTCATTGATTTTTATTTTATTTTTAGTACAGAGTTATAAGTAACATTGTATTAACGAGGTAAGTAATGTGATAGTCATATGTGCAAGCCATTGATAGTAAATTCATTATTCTTTGAACATCCCATGAATGTTGCTTCGCATGGCATAACAGGTCTATCCAACAAACATCTCTTATTTGTAGCCATAATATACAGTAGCGGACTGGGTCTAAAAATACTGGTTGTCAGGAGACAAAGGGGACCAACACACAACTACAATGCTATCATTTAATTTTTATAACAAATAAATCAAATTTTCAAAAAATACATATGGAAAGAAAGATACAATTAAATTTTTTTTTGCAAAAAAAAGTGCCTATTCCTTAGTAATTACATTGTACATGTACTGAACATATTGCTGATGGTAGATACCAAATGCAAATACAGAATGCTATAGTTGAATTTTTTATTTATTTATTTTTTTTAAGTAATTGGTTGATATTTTTAAATAGCTTACTGCACAATTTACAAATTACCAAATAGTTCAAAAGCACAATAAAGCATTGCACACAACTCACCATATTAAGAGCAATCATTTGTGTTCACTCGATGATTGTGCAAATCTGCCAATAAAAGCTTCTGCATCTCATTCATTTAACAATTTCTTTTTAGTGGATAGCAACAAGCATGATTCCAAATTCTCCTCAGATAGTGAATGTCCTAACCTTTTCTTTTTGACTTTCAGCTTTCAAAATGTCCTCTGACATTGGACTTTAGTAACTAATAAGTGCGCAGATGACTTTATAAAGTGTTTATTCCTTTTTATTAATAAAACAGCTGTTTGTTTCTTTATTGCATTTTTTCTTGATATGGACGGCCTTCTCTATCAGGGAAGTGGGCCCCTGATAGAGAAAGCAAAAATGAGAATGAAAAATCAAGCTGACACCCTGACCAGTTTGTCACTGGTAATATATACCTAGGATTGAATCATAGAATTGTCTTAAGATAAGCACAAACTGATAATATAAATTTAATTTTTTTGTTTTTGATGTCACTCTTTCCTTGACCCTGTGAAAATTTTGCACTTTGATTTTATATAAAATTAATTTTTAAAAAAATTAATACCCTGGTAAAAACACGAAATCTAGAATAATTTAAAGACATTATTAGCAGATAATTATAATAAAAAAAAATTATTTTAAAGAATTCTCAATAATTAAAAGACTGTTTTCATTCTATTGAGTTTGTTTTTATTCTTCTTTCTTCCAGAAGAAAAAAAGGTGCTTTTCAAGCAAAAGATCCCCCAGGAAGCCCTGAGTTAGACCAAGGTTACAAATTTCGGGACACAAATGATCGGATCAACAGAATGAAAAATCAAGCAGTTCAAGAAAATATGGGGTTAGGCATTCATGGGGCCTTTATGGCCGGAAATGGTAGGTAATGACATCAAATTTATTGAGGGCTCTCTCTCTCTATCTCTCTCTCGCTCTCTTTCTTTGCAAAATCCTCTTGCTAGGAAGGTTTCTTCATAGCATTACCAACCTCTTTGAAGGAAGACTCCTTAACAAGATGGGTTTGATGGTATGGCTTATCAGGTAAAAATTTGGGTTCCATAAACTATTATAATATTTTAAACCTGGTTGAACTGTGATTTGCTCTGGAAGCAAGATTTTTATTTTATTTTATTTTCTTCTTTTTTTGTTCACATAGCTTTGTAATACATATAACTGGATATATTATATCTTTGGTCAATATTTGACAAAACTAAATTGCGGAAAATGTTTATTATTACATGAATAACAGAAATTTTCATCAATAGAAATATTTAAACAAAAAGAAAGAAAAAGTTTGCATTTCATCAAAACTTTTTGATGTTTTAGTTACTTAACATAACCTCTCATGTGTATTTTATTTGTATACTATAACAGACAACTGTACCAAGTAACAGAAACCACATTACTTGAGGACTTTCAACAACAGCAACAATTAAAAGGGATAGCACATGTAACTTGAAGAGAAAATAATGATATAATCAAGATGTTGACATTCCACACAACTTCAAATAAAAGGTTAGGAAGGAAACCCCAATTAATACCGGAAAGAGTAATAATACTTACTGGGCTTGAGAAGCTTATTTTCCTGAAATATTATTTTAGTAGTAAGATTTTGTAAAATTCAACTGAATGTAGCACTGTTTTTTTGGTTAATGAATGCCAAATGTTTCCTTATAAGGAAATGGCTAATATTATCATTACCATTGTTTACCTAATACAGGGCCCAAGAGTCACTCAAGGTAGAGGGTTACCAAATTAGATTGTTATAAGAGTGTAAAGCGGGGAAGTATAAAGTGCATATTATGAGGATATTTTGAATAGATAACTGTTGTTCCTAGACTTGAAGTGGTTCAAATTGTAGTGATTAGGGAAGCATCCTCTTGGGAGTCTTTTCTGTATAGTGCTTATTTGAAGATTATTCCTTTATAACAATTGTTGCTTGAATTCATGATGTGTTACTATTATACAATGATCATTTCAGATCACTGGTCCAAAACCCTCAGTCTATAATATCTCTTTCAATCTGAGCCTCAGGTCAAGACACTCTCAAAACAGCTGTTTACACCAAAATCGCAGTTAAATGCAGCTGTGTTTCTTTAAATTATTCTTTAGATTATTAGGTATGATAAAATGACTGATATGAAATATCCAAACAATGTACGCAAGATGAAACAAGTGAAAACTGGTTGGATGTTTAAAATCTTTTATTCTGTTATCATTTCATTCAATAAGAACATCATCAGAACAAATGAAAAATGATGGAAGCATCATTATCATGGCAACCTTGCTATTTAAAAATGCTGTGGTTAATGTGAAAGTTTAACGGTTAATAAAATTAAGTGTATCTGTGAATTTTGTACACAGGAAAGTGTTAAAATAAATATAAAATATAGGGATTTGATGGAGGAAAATTTTATTTATAAAAGATTAAAAAAAAGGTGAAGTTTAACATTCATACCTGATTTAAAAAAAAAAAAAAAAAAAAAAAAACTGTTTAAAAGGATAGTTTTTTCCTTTACACTGTTATTACTGTATGCTCTTCATACTGGGTATGACAATAAACTAAATCTGGCAGCAAGGCCTCTGATTCAGAGGTTTTGATGATTTTAAACCATAATTTTAATTGTCTACTGTTCCCAGGGTCCACCTTGACCTGTGGTGGTAGCACCCATTAGGGTCCCAGCTATGGGAAAATGGCGAACCCCCAAACTTGGTTCAAAACACTATGAAAGTATAGAAATACATTTTTGTAAAAAAAAAAAAATAAATAAATAAATAAAATGGTGCTCCCAAGAAAATTAAATTTTAGCATTAAATGACCCAAAAGGAGTTGACAGATGCTGTAGGAGTTGATATGTTGCTAAACAAACTGTATTCTCTTGTTTGGAAAAGAACATTTTTAGAATTTTAATACAATCCAAACATGAAACTGAATTTATGCATTCTCTTTTTACTTGAGAATCAGCAACAAATGAATTATGTTATTAGATCATTTATCTACAAGAATAATCTTTACAAGTTTATAAAAATATGTAAAGCAGCACCAATGCAATATTTTATCATTTTCCTTCTTATAAAGAAAAAAAACAATGAAAACAAGGTTTTATTCAAAAATTTATAAAAAATTTTCAAACAAAAGAGCAAAAAAAAAATTAAATAAATAAATACAACTGTAACTATAAATTTTGAAAAAATGCATTTGCTTACTTTCACTTGCTTTAATTACATAAATCCACTAATATATAGTGTGTGAGCATGCACCTGTGTTAAAATACCTTCTCATTTCTTGCTTACCTGCCACCCACAATCTTCAAAAATTTAAATGCAACTGTCTTCCTGAATCCTGTTCCTTTATTGTCCTTTCTCCTCACAAGAGTTTTCTCATTCTCTTTCATTCTCTGTAACCTCATGTCCTAGTAGCATTATCATATTGCTTGGAGTGAAATGATAAAAAAAATTTGGGCATACTTTTTTTTTTCTTGAGATTTGATAGCAAAAATGTTAAACAGTATGTATTAGACTGTTTATTTACAAGAATAAATCTTTAATACTTTGCCGAGAGAGTATACAGTAATGGTACTGTTAAAGAAGAAAAAATGTTCTTTTGATATGTTTTTGGTTTTGCTGGTACCAATGTTAAGCTTTTGCCAAAATATCAAACTTGAAAAGAACAAAAAGAATGTAGTTAACATTTTATCTTCTCTTCTAGTTATTTGACTAATCTGATCAATTTTCTCTGCAGTTTTGAAAGTACTCAGTTGTACAAAAAGGTTGATAAAATAATTTTTTATGCAATATGGTATTAATCAAATATTGGTTAGTTATCTTTCCTCACTAGTCTTGAACCTTTTCTCTGCTTTGCAATTACATGTTTTCTTTTTTTTTTTTTTTTTTTTTTTTTTTTTTTTTTTTTTTTTTTTTTTTTTTTTTTTTTTCTAAAATTTTTTTTTTTTTTTTTTTTTTTTTTTTTTTTTGTGTGCTAATGGTGTTGGTAACGAAATCTTCACTTCAATGTTGTTGCATAGCCAGCCTTCTTCTTTGTGCATATGCTGCACCTCTATCAAATCTTTTTGATAACCTGACACCATATTTTAAAATAATTTTGGGAATAAAAATTTATTTTTTCCAAAAAAAACAAAAAAATACAAACAGATGAATTTGTTCTTTAGAGTGGAAAATGACAGATGGAATGATCAATTTTTTATCTTTGATCATGCTCCCTATAGAACTGAAGAGGGCTGTATTGTGTGTGTGTGTGTGTATATATATATATATATATATGTCTATGTATGTGGACAAGTGGTTAGAACGTTCGCATTCTGACCATGAGACCCAGGTTCGAATCTCATCACAGTTGATTTGTCAGGAAGGAGACTTCCTGATGTTATCAGTCTGGAGGAGGCTGATCCCAGCATGCGACACCTTTGGAAAGTGTCTGAAAACCATACCACAGGTTGACCCAAGCCTTGTGAGTGAAATTAGGTAGACGGGACCATCAATAGCTGTGCTAGCACAAAGTCATCATGACCAACGGTTTTTTTTCATTGCTGAATGTTCATGTTCAGATTGAATCACATAGATAACATGCTTAATTCCCACAAACTGTAACTAAGGTCTGCTCAGCATAGTTGCAGTATAAACCATCAAAGTCTCCTTTTGCCACCTGGAAATGATTTGGTATGCCACATATGTGAGAAGAAATGCAGATTGATGGCTGGCTTTATCAGCCACAACTGATGATTGCAGTGTTGTGGGGAGGGAGTTTAACTGAAGGGCTGGACATGTCAGTGATGGTCATCTTTGCCTTTTTAGTTGACAGCCAACACCATATATATATATATATATATATATATATAATCATAATCATAAAAATGTAGTTTTAAGGTATTCTATATTTATAGATAAAAGTACTCAGTATCACGGATAGAGCATATGTAAATATAAAATTGAACACTGAAGTGAACACCAAGTCTGTTTTAATGTTTAAGCTTAATATTCAAGACATGAAGATTGTGTTGAGGCATGAAACAGACTATCACTGCTTGGTATTGAACTCCATCTTTACTTTATATATATATATGTGTGTGTGTGTGTCTATATATGGTTGGAACAAAGGGTAGTGGCATTTAAACATGTGATTCTGTTTCACACGAGACTGACATATCTATGTATTCTAAGAGATGATATTTCAATACATCTTCCTGTACAATTCATGTGTGGATTATGAAAGGGTTTAATTCCAAATTCCCTGTAGGTTATTCAAATCAGCAATCACCTGATGAATGCCACAGGTCACGACGGTCAAAACTTTGTGATAACAAGAAACATGAGGACAATAGTCTGCTGTAAATAATAATTCCTCATATCAGAAATTCAGACAGGAATTTGAATATTTTTACATTAAAGATGAAAATAGAGGAAAATTTAGATGTATTTTCATCATTTGATGCCCTTTTATTTCTGGAAATGAAAAAAATGATATAGAAACTGCAAAAATGACATACCTGGTGTAACAGCAAAATTGTCCAATTGTTAGATTAAGTTCTGAAATGTTTAAAGATATCTTACTGGAATTCTCCAAGGGGATTTTTATAACACTATTGGACTCTACTTTGAGCAATAAGAATGTATAATTACTCTCTAAGCTTAACAGAAGTATCGTGATGCAATCGATCATAAACGAAAATGAAACATCAAATTAATCACATGTTCAAAGTTATATATATTAATATAATCATATATATATATATATATATTCAGGATCATTTTCCAACTTATTCAAGATGATCTTGAAATTATAACATTCTGTCCTGGAGTAACAAGGTGCCTCACAGGTTTCCCATACAATTTCATTTTCAAGTCTTTTTTTCACTGCTCTT